GAAGCCTTCTATAATACTTTATTTTCCTGGGCTGAAAAGTCCTGTTCTGAAAGCTTTACTCAAACATTTTCCTGCAAAGCCCATACTCCTGAATCTCCGCATAGTCAGTCTTCTCCTTTTGCTTTTGTGTTAGAAGAAGGTGAACTCTGAAATGTCAGTTTGGAGATGCTGTTTGAACACAGCGGTACGAGTCAGTGCTGTATTTGACCAGCTCTGTTTACTTAAACACACAATTCCTCACAAGCACTATTAATTTCAAAGGCTGCTTTATCTCATTAGTGTCTGAAAGAGAGGTGTTTGCACAAATGTGAGGATAAAGTAATGGCACTTCTGTAGCTGCATTGCAATGGCTATAACTGCATGGTTGTCCCTGATCTGCCTTGGCATCTCGACAGAGCTCTTCTAAGATGCTGTTTTATGCCAGGCACTGGCTTTCTATCATTCTCTCCTCCTTATTATTACCCCAGGACTGGGCGACTCCAGCCCCTGCAGTTGTACAGCAGGCACCTTCATGTTGAAACAGAAGGGAAATGTATTGGTTTTGAGCTAGAATCTGAAAGGTAAATGACAAAGACCAAACCACACTTTTGCCTGGGAGCCTATGCCCTTGTCTTGTGATGGGAGTTCTTCAGCCTGATGCCCATGACAAGTGTGTGCAAGGGGCTTGTTGCCCCTTTCAGGAGAAGGGAATGCCTTCATGTCTACCAGGGAGGCTGCTGAGAAGCAACTGTTCTATCTCTGAGCAGCAGACCAGGAGCATAACATGGTCTATTACTATTAATGATAATTTTTAAATGGAAAAAAAAGAAAAGGCAGATTATTTAAAAGCCCCAGTTCTGTTTCCAGATCCAACTTGGAGGTCTTGCATGCCTACTTAGTTTGCCTTTATGTACCGCATAACTTGGGGAAATGTAGGTTTATTGCTTCACTCTGCTGCTCCTGAGAAAGCTCACCCCAGACCTTCAGGTGGGGCAGCCCTGAGTCTTTCCATGATGTGAGCCAGGTGGAAACGGGGTATTCAGCTTGGTCAGAATATCCAAGCACTCTCATTTTTCCTGAGCAATGAACAGTGGCCCTTTTGAGTAACCAGGAAAGCCATGCCTTCTGCCTATACAGGCCTTGCAAGGACAAAGAATGTTTCATGGTTGTTTGTTCAGATGAACAAGTGTCAAGCCTGAACTATGAATTAGTTGTGGTGGTTTAAGTTAGCCTTTATGATCAAAAGAATAACAATTGTTATTTAATTGTAGGTGACACCAAGTTGGCAGGAAGTGTTGATGTGTGTGGGGGTAGGAAGGCCCTACTGAGCAATCTGCAGAGGCTGGATCTCTGGGCTGAGGCCAATGGGATGAAATTCAACAAGACCAAGATGCATACTTGTGCAAAAGGTCTGATTGTATTCTGTCTATCAGCTGGAGATAATTCCAAGGTAGTTCACACAGCATTGCTTGCTTTTGAGGTAGCTGGTGAATGGCCAGTTATGCAGACCACTGTGGATCTTGTTATGCGTAATAACTGCAAATTGTGACATCGTGCTTTCTGCTCAGAGATCCCCAGGCACTTTGCAGAAGTATACTCACCTGTGTTTTCAGAGGACAGAAGAGTAAAGATGTTCATCTGAAATAGATCTTCCTAATTCCAGCTATTTCCCAATTATGATCCCAAAGTAGCTGATCAGCCATTTGGTTTGCATGGGATAGGGAAAGTTTCTAGATCAATCCAATTAAGATCCCTGATGAAAGTGAAATGAATGGAGACAGAGAGGAACTCTTAATGTGTGGCATTGCAAATGAGTGTAACTGATATTTGAGTGAATGCCTGGACTGATTCAGTCCTGCAGCTGGCAAAGTGCATGCTGTTTATTGTGAAAATTAGGTCTCTTTTGTCTCTGGTAAGAAAACCCTGCCATTGCTACATCTATCTTCCAAATAGAGACTTTTGGGGTGAAATAAACTTCACTTTATGAGACTTTCCCGAGACTGCCCCTTTGCCTCCTGCCTAGAGTTCTTCTGTCCTGGACTGCCAGAAGAACAGAGCTGTGCAGCAGACTGAACCTGCTGAGGACTATGCCCTGATGTGCTGCAGCCATCCCACTTGATGGGAGGACACACAGAGGGTGATGCTGCCTGTGTGTCTGCTGAGGGACAGGGCAGATAGGGCACTTCTGTGCTGAGTTTAATCCGTTTTGGAATGGAAAAGGTTTCCCATTCAGGGCAGTGGATAGTCCTAGGTTATGGCACAGGCTGGTGAAAGATAGCAGGATGCTAGTGCAGGAAACTGGATCTTTGATTTGTTCAATTTCTCCTTCCTTAAGGCAATGAACAAATACTGGCAGCTCAGGAAAAATGAAAAGTCATTTTTTAGCAGCAATATTACCTCTAGTTTCTGAATGGCAGTAACAAAAGCATTCACCTGTGTATGAGAAAAGATCCTTGCAAGAGATGGGGCGCAAAGGGAGAATCATTGGTTTCAATTTATAGATGCAGAGCTGAACAGAGAAAGGATAAGTGAGCTGCTCCAAACCAGCAACATCAAGGGACATCTGACCCTGCTCCAGTGCCACTGCTTGCAGACTTGATGCAGATTTTCACCTCTTTCCTTCCTGCAGCAAAATGTGCTCTTGGAGCTGGTCCATCAGCTAGGGAGAGGCTCACAGCTTGCTGTGCCAGGGCCTCTGCCAAGTGACTCCATTAAGAATTGCTTTCACGATTACAGTGCCTATGCAAAAGAGGAGCAGGCTCTTGGGAGGATGTTTACATGACTCGGATCCTTTATCTGGCTTCGGTATCTCCTCATCGCATGCATTGAAGAATTGTCTTTCTCAGTGGCTGATTAAACTGCTAAATCCAGCTTTGTGTAATCCTATTTACCTTCTATACCTGGTTAACCTTTATCATATTTGCAATTGTGTTGGGAGAGTAGCATAAACAGAGAGAGGTGGGTGGAGGAGGCAAAGGCTAGCCAGAGAGAGCCAGCAATGCCCTGCTTGCCAAGGCCCCATAGATAAGAGGAGATGTGTGCCAGGCACTGAGGTGCAGGAAAACGATTGCCTAATTTGTGCTGATCAGCACAATAGCTGTAGGAGTTTTCCAGACCTTCATGGGATTGACACAAGGCCTGAAGTTTAAGCTAAATAGTATGAATTCCAAACTCTATGGAAATTATTTGTGGGTCCTCAGGGCTGGCTCTGTCAGACAGTTGCCCTTGGGTAACTTGGCATTTGGGTCAGTGCTATCCTGTGAGTTCTTCCCAAAATATACCCAAGCACCATTACATCTGTGTGCATCCCATTGTCTTCTGTGCTAAGATGCTTGGAGGATCTGTTTTCTGTGAGCTACAAAAGAAGTTGTCTGTCTGATGGGAAGGGCCTGGCAGAGACCAAAAGGATTGCCTCTGCTGGAATGGAGCGCCGCCTGTGTTCTTGTTGCTGTGTCCTTTATTACTAGGAACAAGAGGGTTTCCAAAGGTTTGAATAAGGGAAGCTCTCCATTATTCTGAGATCCTGCTCCATCCATGGGGCTCACTTGGGGTAGGTCTTGAGATGGTTTGTCAATCTGATCACACTGCCCCATGGGAGCTGCACTGCTCCCCTTTGCCTCTCTGGGAGGAAAAATGGTTTGGCCTCGAGAATATTTATCAATGAGGAAAGAAAATTCTGCATGGACAAATGCTCTTCTTCCTTCTCATTGCAGAACCTGTTTCTGTGCCATACCTTTTTGTCTGCAAAATTCCACAGTAATTGCACTCCTAGAAAAACACTTAGGCTAGATTAGTTTTACAGAAGGATCTTGCATGCAGTTTGGATTGGATTATGTTGAGGTCAGGTCTTCCTTCTGAAAGTTCAGGTATGTTTCCTAGGACGTGTGACTGTACACCTTTTAGACTGAGCAGCTGAGGAATTGATTAATTGCTATTTGCTACCTGTTCCAGTTTATTTCCCTACTATTTGTCTAAGATTCAGAAAAAGAACGGAATGAAAATTTTCATGCGTTAGTTCATAAAAAAAAATTTTACACAAGGATTTCTATACTTGTGGAATTTTCAGGGCATTTGAAAGTATTTCTCAGCATTGGAACAAGCACTGGTTGCTGAGATCTGCGTCGTTCCATTGCTGGATTCACTAGGCTGAGCGCTATGAAAAGGAAATCAGAGCTCCCTGGTTTGTGTCACTTTTGTTTAATTGAATGCCATTATTTGTTCTGTGAAACTGATCTCCTCAGGAAGCTGTGTTAATCTGAATCACGTAATTCGAACCAAGTGCCTTCCTCTTCCTCTGAAAAGTGGGTTTGAAACCCTTATTCCCTTACTTCTTACTCAGTTAGATCTGAGAGGGCAGGAGAGGCTTCCCCTGGTTTTGGAAGGCAGAACAAAGCACTGCTTGCCCTTAGGACAAGGCTTCTGGGTCCTGATGTCCTGAAGCTGAAAGAAGAGGGATGAGACCCCAAAAGAAATCCTGGAGTGCCAGCATGCCCAGTAGGTGGTGAGGCAGAAAGCTCATCTCCTTGACCAGAGAAGATTTGCTCTGGGAGAAGGGAATCCAAGAAACCTTCCACTGGTAAAAAGTCATGATGGTATTGCCTTGAGAATAAAGGACTAAAGGCTAGACAAGCAGCAGTCTTGTGCTTGGTGCTAGCCCAAGCAGTGGGTTCAGACTTCTCATGGCTCCAGTATCAGTGCTGTGACTTTCAGCCTCCCATAGAAACACTTCTGGGTTGTAACAAGGAGCAGCCTTAAACTTTTTGCGTTTGAAGAAGAATGGAGCAAAATAAAAAGCTGCAATTGAGTTCAGCTGCCTAAATAGCTTGCTGTACATTAAGCTTTTGGGAACTTCAGAGGAGTCCGTATTGGTCTACATCTAATCACAGGCTCTATGGGAACTGTTGAGTCCCAGCCTGAACCACTAACTGAACACCTGGGGAAAGGGCCGGTCAGCACTGGGAGCACAGGTGAAGGCAATTCAGCTGTGAGACAGGAAGGGTTGGAGCCTGGCTGCACCTCTCTTAGGCCTCACTGGAGGGCTGACTGCTGATGGGGAAGGGAGTTCTGGTTGGAGTCCTGCCTCGTGGAGTCTTTCCTGTAAGCCTGGATCCTCAGAGATGGGTGAGTGCTTTTACTTTCTGTTTGAAATGCCATCCTACCTATGCTGGTCCCTTTGCTGTTATGCTGCTGTATTGCCCTTCCACCACGTTAATCTTTCCAATTGTAACACGGGTCCTTCTGCTACTCTGTGACTTCCAAAGAGTGTGTGTTGTGGTGGATAGAGTAGTAGGATACAGTTGTGCTTTGGCAGGAAATGATTTGGTGCAGAACAGTTACAGTGGGAAATGCTTTAGTGTAAATGCTGGACTTAAACCCTTATCCATGTTTTAATTTGCTTGATTGAACAGAGGGGTAAACGCTCAGGATCTGAAATCAGTTTTACTTCTAGGCTGTTGGTTTGCAGTTTTAAACTAAGCAGGATCCCAAACAGCTGAGAAAAGCATCATCCCAATGCAGACTTGCTGGCTGGTGCTAAATCCCTTCTAATTATTTACATCCCAGTATAGCTTTTCCTTAGTTATCTGCCTTTGTCTATCAAGTTCCAGTAGCTTAATATAAACTCTTCCACCTACCTTGCTGCTAACAGACTAGTGATAGCACATAACCACTTACATTGTAGGTAAGAAAACATGTAAGTCGTATTGCTGTTTGCATCAGTACTGAATTTACCCTGAAGCTGTCGATGGGAACTGAACGTGGGTTGTATCTGGCTCTGCCTTCATTGGGTTAGTATTAAGTCTTGGTGACAAACATCCTTGTATCTTCAAAACGTTTCTTGTTTTTGACTCATTTGAAGTATTAACTTGTAAGCTGACACAAATAAACCAAAAGACATGAGCAAAGTAAATGCCTGGACAACGCTGGTGTTTCTGTTGGTTGTACAAGATACTTGGCCCTGATAACAGTAATTAAGTGCATCAAAACCAGTGTCCTCTACCTCCTGGTTGCAGCTCCGATCTCACCTTTACATCCATGTTTGTAGTTCATGGTTGCTGTATCAGTCTGAGATAAATACTGTGTTTGCTAAAGGAGGCTGAATGTAGAGACTACTTCTGTCTGGTAGGAGTGGAGCTGAACATCCCTCAGTTCCAGGCCTAGGATGTAGCTTACACATGGAAGACTGGAAGCCAGGGGAATTTAGTACCAAGAATATCCTGCGTTTGAACAAGGCCGATTATTTTGAACTCTTTCATACCTGATGTGCTGTTAGCAGTGGGAGCATGACTTGTATGTCGTTCTTCTTTGGACAGAGCCTTGCACAGCCCCATGTCAGAGGTAATGTGGCTGATGCAAGCAGCAGGGAAGAGCAAGAGAGCTCATGCTCAGTTGTGCATCTGCTTCTTGGCTTCTTCGCTGTGTACAGTATTGTCAGTGGCTCTTTGGAGAGAAGTGACTGCTTTGTTATGTTTCCAAGACACCTGGAGCAGAGCAAGGGTGAAGCAAGTAGGCTGTCCAGAGGAACATCGCCCTTTCCTGCTTGCTGAGTTTGAAACAGATTTCTGCTCTATTTACTGAACAAAGAACTCCAGCTCTTTGCTGGTCTGTAACAAGCCTAGTCGAAGTAGTGGTCTGTGTGGGATTTTGTCAGCAGCTAACTTTTTCTTTTCTTAATCATTTAATAGAAGTTATGGCCCAGAAAATGCAAGCTCGGTGGAAATTCTGGACTTTGTAAGTTTTTCAGAGCAAGCAGCAGCCAAGCATATAATCCTGTCTTCTCACACCTGTGACTTTGTCCTTCTGTCCTGGCATGAGTTTGATCATGAGGTCTGAGCTCTTCCTGGGCTGGCTCCTTTCAGAAGCTGGTGGGAACAGAGGTGCTGGGAGGCTGTTGAAGAGGAGAATACCAAGACAAGAAACTTGCAGTTGTTAAGTAACCAGGTTCACCTGCAAAAAAAGCCCAAAATTATAGGGGATGGTTAATAGTGGTAGAGATCAGAGATTGGCACAGCTGGCTTTTGGTTTGAGTGATGGTGAAATTGTGTATAAATGTCGAGACTCCATTCTGAAGCTCTAGAGGTACAGTCTGGTACCAGCTTCAACTTTTTGCCACAAGACTGTGAAATTCATTCTGGTCGAATGCCAATGTGAGATAAGAACATTTCCAAAATCAGCCAGCCTGTTGGGTGTGAGAGAAATTTGCTTGTTTCCCTGACGGTTACTGTTTTGTTTCCTGGTCTGTAAGATGTATGTCCAAGAGAATAAATGGATTTCTGCCCATCTGCATTTGGGCAGAAAGAATCAATTTGAAATTTCATTGTACTTGTAGTTTTAAGAAGTTCCTGGAAAAAAAAAAAATGGCAATCAAGGAAGGGTAAAATATCAGGTCCTTGGGGTTGTTTCCTTCCAGTGCTTCTCTTTGGGATACTGAGCCATCACTGAGGTCCCACACAGCTGGTGGCACCTTGTGCAGGCCCTGTGAATGCACCCACAAGGATGCATCAACCCATATCTCCTTCTTCATTCTGCCAAGGGTATGGAGGTAAGAGGATGCAGCTGCCTTAAGTTCTGTAGGTGATCAACAAGAGGTGAAAGGATGTGTCCCTTGGGATGAGGACTGTGAACAAGGTGTAAGGATGTGCTTTTCCTCATTCCTGAGTGTTAGAGAGAGCTTCCAAGGCTGCTCAGAGCTTCAGCAAGCTGCAGAGGATTTGGTTCTGTTACATGGTTTAACCCTCTATTATTTATCACAACTGACCTTTGTAACTCTCTGCAGTTATTGTTTAAATTGTTCTGTCATAAGGATTACTAGAGCTGCTCTCAAAGCCTAACAACTTATAACTGTAACAACTTCTCACTCCTTTTTCTCATCTACTCAAGCTGTAATGGAAGCACTTCTCTTCCTATGCTTTCTTCTGCTTGCATTGTTTTCTTCTAATGCTATGCTCCTGCTGGCCTGTGTCTTACAGCCAGCTCCTTGCTACAGCCTCTGGTGAGCAAAATAATTCCATCCTTTGATTTTGCTGTGCCAGAGGATTTCTTTTTCTCTTAGGTTTTGTGTGTGTGTGTATATGAATAGGTATGTTTATGTTTTTGTATTTCTCAGCGTGTGTGGATAGGGGCAGTTCAGCTTCCTAGCACTGCCATCCCAATCCCATGTTGTGCTCTGTACAGCAGTATTTCTTCCTCTCCCTATTCCCCATCTCTGCTTCATCCCCAGACGTACACATTGTCCAATTCACTCTTCATGGTCTGCACTGGAATGGAAGCCAGGGGGTGTGTGCAGCTTCACCTGGGAGAAGCAGTTGCACACCAGTGTGTTGCACACTTGTGCATTCACAGTTATGCTTCCTAGGCAAAGCTTCATTTGCAGTCTGAGCTGTGATGTAGCAAGCTGGTACTTGGCTTCCAGTCTCCTTTAATGAGGTTGGTTATGCACGTGAATTTGGGCACACCATTAAATGTTCTGAGTATGTGACTAAAAATTGTGAGATTAAGCCTTATCCTAGGTGTTCTGTTTTGACCTGAAGTGAAAACCCGCATCTTTCAAAGCAAGCAACCCTCATAGCAAAAGTTTAAGGGGTTAAAAGAGTCTTGAAATATGGGAATCTGAAATATTCCTCAAATCAAAGTGTTAGAAGCACAGAAGCAAATTGGTAAATGAACCTGTATTTTCCTGCGTGTGCACTCAACTTTAAATAGATCCAGTCCTCCTCTGGAGGAAGTTTAATTTTCCTGTCTCTTCAGACTGCCTGAGAATGTAGCCATGAGGCCGATGGACTTGTCATGACTGGGAACTTCATAGAGGGTACTGCCACTTCTCTGAATGTCCGTTGACAGGAGCTAACTTCATTTGTCATTGGTCTGGTAGGCAGGCTGCTGAAGCCAGAGGAAAGGCTTCTTTAGAGAAGATAGATCTTATGATCGGTCAAGAATGGAGGTTGGATTTGCACAAACGTGTTTCGGCTTTGCTCTCTTTCATTTTTGCTCACAGGATGTAAGGAAGCAAGCTGCGTGCGTGTGAAGTGTTTGTTCATCCCAGGATTTTCCAGCCAGTCTCTGAGTTGGGTTAAGGAACAGAAGCAGATGCAGAAGTTGCTTATGGCAGCTGCCATGTCTGTTTGTTACAGACTTCTCTCCCTTTTCTGAACAGGCTGGCCTGTGCGTATGGGGTCTGGAAACCTGAGCAGACCTTTGCAACACAAGCCCTGATCTGAGAAGGTGTTTGGACAGGTAGAGTTAAACAATGGAAGGAAGTTTCCTTGCTTGGAAAGGACTTGCTTGTTTCCTGACTGCAAGCATGCTGACAGGCCATAAAATATGAACAGCTGCTGAATGACAATAGAATTCTCAGTCTCTCATCTGTTCCTTCTTTCTGTCCCATGCCTGCTTGCTTTAGTGATTTCAGGTGCATCCTGAGAGATGCATCCTAGGACTGCCGTGAATCTAAATGTAATCTATCTGTGCAGGCCTAACTCCCCACAGCAGCTCTGTCTCACTGCCTGCCAGGACTGCGTAGCTTAAATGACATTATTGCTATGCAGGAGCTCTCCTTGAGCTCACTGCACAAAGCTGTAATGAATGGATAATTTGAGACTTTTATCCCTTGCTTGTGCTGTTATCTTAACCCTCCTGCCTTTGAAACCCAAAGACAGCTCTTGCTGTTGCTTGGAACATTCACAAGGTGAAGGGGGCTGTCAGGATATCTTTTAATGGTCTGCTGTGGTTTCCTTTCAGACAGCCCACCTTGAGTGCTGTTATTGACAGAGAGGCTGGTGGGCATTGCTGATGGTGTGCATGTGTGTCTTCTGTTAGAGGATAAACAGGCACATATGAGTTACTCAACAGTGGAATGCAGCAGGATGTGAAAAATGGGGTTTGTAGCATCTCTTTTATAGTAGGCAAGAATAAGACACAACTTTATCATTTTCTTTCCTTTCTTTTTCCTAGTGTAATCTCCATGATGTTGGCATCTTCACTGCAACTGGTTTACACACAGAAATGGGATTTATCCCGAGCTTTCATTTCCCTCTTACTATGGTCTGATTATCTTTATTCTTCTGAAGAGTGCCTAGATTACTAACAGTTTCTCATCCTAGCACATGCTCCACTGCATGCTTAGGAAAGGAAGCCATTCTGCCAGTGTTTCCCTCATCCTTGTGAGCTTGTTTCTAAGCCAGAGATACCCAGCCTGCTCCCACCAAGTACTGCTGAACCCCACTGCAGGCTAAACAGGGATTTGACTAGCTCCAGACAGACCATCTGGTTTGCTTCGCTGTGACTTGATGGAAACTTGGGAAGGTGTCAAATAACAGGAAAGAGCTTTGATTGTTAGAAACGTCCAGGTTTCAGTTGAGAGATGTTTTGGTTATTACTGAACAATGGAATTGCTCCCAAGGCTGGATTGGTCCACACTGCTGAGCAAGAAAGAGCCACTGACTTTATGGCATGGCAGCAGGAGTGTGGTGGAGCCAGGGCAGCTGTCCTGAATTAGGATAGGGGTTATTCCATACCACCTGACATCATGCAGAAGGCTGTAAAGCTGTGTGTGGTGCAGATGGGAGCTGCTGGGGGGAGTTGGCTGGGTGATGAGATGTTGTGTTGCTAGCTGGGTGTCAGTCAGCAAGCAGTTGTATCAGCTGGGTGGTGAGTAACTGCACCGTGGATACAAATGTAGGTCACTCTGAAAGCAATGTCTCCTATGTATTTCCATGGAAACTGCAACAAATACAAGGAGAAAAATAATGCTATTTGATAGATCAAGTTCCCAGCTACAAAACCTTGTTTTCTCAACATAGTCACCAGCTTTAACCAATTTGCTCAGGTGTACTGATTGAGACTATTAATTTCATGGTGTGCTTTCTGTGCGTGGCTGTTTGGACATGGCTTGTCTTTCACATCACTACTGAACTGCACCACCCACCTCTCGCTGCACTCACGTCCACTGTTTGGTCTCTGTAAACGTTCAGCAGGTGTTGATGAATGTCAGTGGATGCTATTTTCCTTCATGGAGAAAATTCAGTCCCTCTATCTTCAAATGCGCTTCCATGTCAGGTGCCGTTCTGTCAGACTGTCCCTCTGCTGTCGTAAGTCACATGGTGAAAACGTGTAATGGAATGTAGGTGGAAAGGTTCAGCCTCTACTGCCATCCCACCACATCTGCCTCCGTTGTGGGCTGACATCATAAAACAGGAGGCATTACTTTCAGAGCAACCCCCATACATTGTCATTATTGCATTTTTGTTCCCACTTTCCTTTTCTGTCTCAACTGTAAGTTCTATTTTGTCTCTAACTCTCTTCCTGTCCCACTCGCAGGGGAGTGAGCGAATGGCTCTGTGGTGCTTCGCTCTCTGTGAGGTTAAACCACAAGAGAAGGCTGTGTTTTGGGCGGTCCTGTGTGGAGCCACGAGTTGGACCTTGTGGGTCTCTTCTGACTCAGGATGTTCTGTGATTCTATGATTCTCATGGGGGAAAACAAAAGTGAGCTTGCTCCTCCCTCTCTCCTCTCCATCCCCCCTTTCCCTAGCTGGTTTACTTTGCTGGTAATTGGTGTAAGCCAGTAATGAGATTCATCTCCTGCTCCCTTTGGAACAGGGCACAAAGAGAAAACAAGACCAGGGTGCTTGCTCTGTAGGGCAAACCCTGCAAAGAAATTGTGTGTGTGTGTTTGGGCTATGAGCAGATAAGACTTTGAACTTAAGTAGTGCTTCCTATTCCAAATGGTCACTGAAAAAGCAACAGGCAGGCAGTTGTTGTCTTGGTTCAGAAAGTGCCTTGTCTAAGGCACTACTGAGGGATTGTTCCACTTCAGGCTGTGAACCCCCATAGTTTTGGACAACACAAGATAAGAAGGATGTGAACAATGTCTATTTATGGAACACTTTGACTATTGAACTATTAGACATTTTGGTACATTGCCCATCAAAATTGAGAAAGTCTTGAAAAAAGCCTGTGCTGCTAAAGTGCATTTGCTGTTTATAAAATACAGCTAATCCTAGTGAGTATTGTCTGTAGTAGGAAAGAGTGAAAATAAATAATTTGTATTTCAGAACTCTGCTACCACCATGAAGAAACTGTGAGCCTTACATAAAGAGTGGAGCTGAATATACAATTTGAGAATACTGTTTTACTACTACCAGAAGAGTGTGGGCTTTCATACAAAATTGTTGAAGATGTGTTTCTATAAGATGAATACTGGGTACTTTGTGGGTACGTGCTTTTATCTGTAAAACACTGTCCACTGTAACACTTCCCTGCATTTGACTGAAATCTCTGAAGGATTATAAAAAACAAACAAACAAACAACCACTGTGAGGAATAGAAGTGCTCAGCCTGCATTCCTTCTCCTCCTTTCTCTGGGGAACCCTTCTCTATCTTTTCCCACCTCTTGGTCTCAATGTAACTGTTCGCTTTGTCAAGCCCAGCAGGATCCTAGTGGAAGTTTTAAATTCTGATCCACAACAGCTGAGTGCTGTAGGAGGCTAAGCAAGGCATTTGGACATCCAGGGAAGGGTGTGCAGATCATTGTAGTTGTTTCTGTGG